CTCCTTGAGAAATTTTTTTCGTTTTCTTTTTCTACCACCTCCTCCTTCCCTCCCTTCATCCATTTCTTTTCGTTTGTTTGTTTGTTTGTTTTCGATTGTTAGTTATTAAACGTATATGTCGTAGTGCCGTAAAAAAAATTTTTTTCTTATCGCCTGGAATAATTTTTTAAACTATGGAGAAAAAAACTGGATAACAAAAAAAAAATTCAATTTTATGGAAACAAACACGAGATAGAAATTAAACCTTTTAATTGTTTTTTTTTTTCCTACTGTCGCAAAAAAATAAAAAGAATCGAGGAAAGAGAGAGGAAGGGAAGGAGAGGGAGGGAGCGAAAGCGAAATGGGAAATAGAAGAAAAAAAAAAAAGGAATGAGGGGAGAGAGAGAGAGAGTAAAATATCTGTGGTTAATGACGTCCGCTTGCTACTGCTGTCGCTGATTCTGATGCTGCCGCCGCTGTTTTATCCCTGGGGATTTTTAAAAAGGTTCTGTTGTTTTTATAATGGTTAGAGACATAACGTATACAAAAATTTAGGGTCGCCTAAGGGTGGAAGAGCAGGAAGAGGAAGATGAGATGGGGAGGAGGAAGAGGAATCCATTCTTGTTTTTTGATACTCATTCCAAACGATCCGACTTTTTTTTTTTTATTCATTCCTTCCTTTATCGCAACCCATTAAGAGTTTTTTTTTTATTTTTTTTATTGCTGGTTTAAGCTAATATTTCGACTCTGCGAAAAGTCATTATTTAAAATTAATATGCGTCATAAGTTATAAAAAGTAACGTCGCGGTAAAAAAAACAAAAGGTTGTGGAATGCGTAAGAAGAATGTTTAATACGAATGATGACCGTTTCTTGTTTTTTTTTTTTTCCTTTTTATAAAAAGACGATTTACGGGAGTTGAAAACGAAGGGATAAAACGAAAAGAGGAGATTTAAACAAATTTCATAAAAGAAAGAAAAAAGGAAAAAAAAATTCCGGAGGAAACGTACGTAGAATTTAGATGAACAAAAAAAAAAAAAAAAACTTTTTTTTTGTATAGTACAAAAAGAAAACGGCGGATTCCTTTTTTTCACGTTCCCTTTTTTTTTATCCTTCCCTCGTTTTTCATTTTGTTGTCAACAACAACAACAACAACCACCGACAAACGCAAACGATTAAATAGTTTTATTATTATTATTATTAATAGAAACAATGTGTATATATCGTATTTATTATATCTCGTGCACGGGTAACAACCGTACGGGTTTTCCTTTTTTTTTTTTTTAAAATTTTCTCACACTCTAACCGACGACGTGTTAGTACTAAACCTTGAAGGGGTTTTTCCTCTCCCATTTAGAAACTGACAAATTGGTTTTGGTCTTTGTGGTCAATGAATTCATTTGCATTGACAAATTGATCTAAAAAGCTTTTTTCACTGGTAAGGGAGTGAGTGAGTGAGAGAGATAGAGAGAGGGGCAAGCGGACGGACGTGACGTAGAGACAAAAAATTCATTTTTTTTGCTAACAAACAAAAAAACATTTTGTTTGTTTGCCTTTCCCTCGTAAAAACAAACGAGAAATTAATCCGTTATTCAATTTTAGGATTTGTTGGATTTTTTTAATACGAAAATTCCAAAAAAAAATAAATAAATAAAATAACCGAATCTATTAAATCCTCGTTAATACGATACACGAACCTAATATATAAATTTTTTTTTTTATTATTTTTTAATTAAAAAAAAAATTACGTGCTGCGTGTTGTGCCACGAAAAAAAAAAATTTTTTTTACAATGTTTCATCTTATCTTTTCGTGTCTATTTACACGTTCGTCGATGCATCACATTCACAAAATAACAACATTTTAATTATAAAAAAAAAAAATTCAACGGTTGAAAGTAATAAAAAGAAAAACAAACGACAAATAAAATTTTTTTTTTCATTCATATTTTTAATCTCGGCGTTAAAATAATAATAATAATAATAATTAAAAAAATAACAACAACAACAAAATTTTAACCGTCGAATATAACTCTAATCCTTCGTAATAATAATAATAATAATAATGATAAAGATAATAATAATAAAAAGTTTTTTGTATTCGGTTACGATTATTACTCGTTTTAGTTTTAATCCAGTCGAAAGTTAACTTACCGTTACTTAAAATAAACATTATCATCATCATCATTATTATTATTATTATTATCATTCGGTTAAATATTAACTAATAATATTATTTTTAAACTAAAAAAAAATTTATTACGTGTTTGTGTTTGTTGTCTACGCACAAAACACACTTGATAATAACTACTAGATAAAAAAGTTATATGTTATTATTTATTAACCGTTATTATTATTATTATTATATCGACAATACAGTGTTTTTGTTATAAAGCGAAAGGTTGTTTTTTCGAGGGGGAAAGGGGGGTGAAAGATCAAAAGGGTTTATAAAATCTCATAAAGTTTTTATATATTTTCTTTGTTTAGTATTAAAATTTATATACATACGCACATACAAAAAAAAATTTTTTTTTTCTTCTTCTTTTGTAAGAATTAAATGAAACAAATGAAAGATAACAACGGAGAGTCTCTCTCTCTCTTTCACTCCAGGAAAACGTTTTTTTTTTGGGGGGATGAAAATATTTTGCGTCTGGATAAAAATGGATAAGAATATAATTAAAACAAACAATAACAAAGAAATTGTGTAAATATAAATTATGAAAGCGCGAATATATATTAAAAGTGGTTAAAAGAATACTTTGTCTCTCTCTCTCTTTCTCTATTATTATCATTATTATTAAAATGAATATTCATTGAATGAATGTATGAATTAAATAAATAATGCGAACGAATGGTCGGTCGGTCGGTCGTTCGTCGTCATGAAAAAGTTTTTAAATAAATAAAACGAAAAAAAAAAATTTTTACTTTTAATAAATAATTTTATCGTGTCATTAGATTTTATGTTTTTTAAAATAATTCTTCTTATTCCACGTTTTTTTTTTTTTTAATCCTTTTTTTTATAATAATATAAATTGGTTTAAATATAAATATATAAATTTTTTTTTTTTTTGGAATGTACGACTGACAAAAATAAAATTAAACTTTTTTTTTGGGTTTGTGTTTGTTTGTTGTTTGTTTGTGTAATTTATATAAAAAGAGGGTAGAAAAAAATTTTTTTTTTTTTGTACATTGGGGATGTTTTTATTATTATCATTATCATCATCATTGAGTTTTTTTTTTTTTTGAAATAAAACAAAAATAAAAATGAAAAAAAAATGTTTTTCCAACTTTTATCGTTTTACGTTTTGTTTTTTTGTTTGTTTTTTATTTATTTCCCCCCCCCCCCCAGCTCCCCCCCATTTACCCTCCATTAAAAAATATTTTCAGTCGTTTTCGTCCGCCATTTTTTAAATATTAACAAAGTAAAAAAAAAAAAAAAATTCGTTATTTACAAATAATAATTAAATAGATCGAACCCAATAAAATAGAAAATCATAAAAATAAATCAAACGAGATTAAAAAAAAAAAAAAAAATTCATTCCATTTTGATACGTTTTTAAATTTCTCTCTCTCTCTCTCTCTCTCTATCTCTTTTTATAACTATTCTTCTGCTACCCCCAACCTCTCTCTCTCTCTCATATTGTGACCCCATCTGGGATTGAGAGGGTTTTTCTAATAATTGCATCAATAAATAAAAGCCTTTTTAAACGACAATGTAAGCCTTTTATTTAAAGAATCAAGAGATTAAATACCAAGGGATGAAACTTTGTTTTTTTTTTCTATCTCTCTCTCTCTTTCTCCCAAAAATTTTTTTTTCTTAAACCATCTCTATCTCTCTCTCTCTCTCTCTCTCTCTCTCTCTCACTATAAATTATGGTTATAGTTATTGAAATAAAATTTAAATTTTGATATGAAAATTTTCCATTTTTTTATAAATTTTAATAAAATTTTATTGAAACTTTTTCGAAAATTTTCCTCCGAAAATAATAATAATAATAATAATTAACGGTTAATTGCTTTCGTTTTTTTCTAATAAACAAATTTATAAATAATAATAATAATAATAAAAGACTGCAGCAGAACGTAATTAATTAATTGTTAAGGATAATATTAAAAAAAAAACAATTTAAATTTTTGACTAACAGATTTTAAGAAATTAAAAACGGAAACGGGAAAAAAATTGTTTAAAAATTGGAAATTTCTCATTTTGTTAGGATATAAACATTTCAACGACACCATTTTGACATATTTTTTATTTTAAAATAACTAAAAAGAAGTGTAAAAATCTTAACAAACTAACTAATTTTAATTAATAACTTTTTAAATTGACGTTCGAAACCGTTAAAACCGTTAATTTTCATTTTCAAAAAAAAAATATGCGCGCACGATGAATAAATATTTATGTTAAATTTTTTTTTTTTTTTTTCTACTCCCTCGTTTTAAAATTTTAAAAATTTTCCCGCTTTTTTATTTCGTACGCATAGAGAGAGAGAGAGAGAGAGAGAGAGAGAGAGAGAGAGTTGATGAATTGGTCGTGTGCGAAGCGGGGAGAAGAGGTAGGAAATGAAAAAAAACGAGTTTTTAGAGAGGGCGGTGAAAAATGACGTAATAATGCGTCGAATTCGTCGTCGTGGTTCCCGTTCGTAACATTGAAAAATTTAAATAATTGTGTTAACGTATAATAACGCGTTGAGATTTTTTTTTATATATAAAAGAATTTAAATTAATTTATTGTAAAGAGAGAGAGAGAGAGAGGTTTTAAAAGTAATAATAATTTTTTTTGCTGATTCGCGCGCGCAAAAAAATAATAATAAAAAGCAGAAGAAAAAAGGAAAAAAAAGGAAGGAAAAGAAAAAAAAACGGTCCCTGAAATTCATTTTAAAAAAAAAATCGTATAAATTTTCTTTTTCTTTTTTTTTTATTTCTTTGCTTTTTTTGCTGCCGTTGCTGCTGCTGCTGTTGCTCCTCCTTAAAAAATATTACTCAGTAATTTTCTCTTTTTTTTTTCTTTTTTTTTTTTTTACTTCTATCCTATCAAAGGGGCAGCAAAACGTGCGGAACAACTTTTCAAAAGTGGTGAATTATTGTTTTCTAGAAAAGATAATTTCTCGGAAGTTGTGAAACTATATTGTAAATTTAAACCACTTTTTTTTTCTCTACTCTCTCTATCTCTCTCTCTCTCCTCTTTTTTTCTTACCCCTCTCTCTCTCTCTCTTTCTCTCATACTTTTTATTTTCCTCTTACATTTTTCCTACGAGTAAACCGTTTTTTTTTTATTTTCAGGGCCCGAAGCGTAAACTCTGCTTCCACGATTCCACTCTCTCTCTCTCTCTCTCTCTTAGCGTTTCTTCAGGTTAATTTATAAAAGTTTTATTCGACCAAACATTTTATTCTCTAGGCAAATGAAAAGTTAAATTAAAAGCATAAATTATTCAGAATGAAGCTTTTTTTTTTGTTTGTTTCCTCTCAGAGATTCTATAGATGAAAACCTTTTTTAAAATATGAAAAAAATGAAAGAATGAATAGGAGAGAAGAAGAAGAAGGCGGTGAGAGAAAAAATGAAAGAGAAGAATAATGAAAAAATTATAATTATTAAACTTACCATTGTAAAGGACAGCCATACGACTTGCTATGTCAACACCGCTTTGTGCCGGTGGTGGACTCGGTGCTGTTGCTCCTGCCGTCGGACTTGAGGGTCCCCAATTATTAGGTCCTGGAATTGGGGCCCAACAGGTTGGAGACGTGTTACAAACGTTCGTATCACCGACAACATCAATTTCTTCTTCTTCTTCTTCATTTCTATTTTGTAATTGTTGTTGTTGTTGTTGCTGTTGTTCCGTTTCTATTATTTGAGGGTCACCTCGGTCTGCCCAAGGATAGGCTTTCCATTTTTTTGCCATCAAACAACGTGGCATTTTTATATTTACCGTTTCCTTCCAGTTTTTTTTTTCTATTATTTTTTACCGACGACGATTGTTTTCGTGCACACACACAAACAAATTTTTTACCTTTTTTAAACACTCGGTGGTGTGTTTAAAACGCGCGCGTAAAATTAATCGAAAACAAAAAAATCCTTATCCGGTTAAATATTTAAACTAATTTTAAATGTTTTGGTGTTTCCGGTTACATATCATAATTAGGGAATGTTTTTTTTTTACATTTTTTAACCTTTTTTTCTTTTTTTTTTTTTTTTTTTTTTTTTTTTTTTATAAACGCGAATTTTTTCTTCTTTTACAATCGATGTTGTTAATAACGATCCCTGGTTCCACGACACTTTTCGTACATTAAAAAAAAAATTATCACTTCACTTTAAAATAACTTTTTTTGAATGTTTTTTTTTTTTTTTTAACTCGCGAAAGGTTTTTTTTTTTTTAGAAAAGAGTGGAAAAAAACGGCAGTAATAATAATAATAATAATTAATAGTAATAGTAATAATAATAATAATTAAAAAAACTTAACGAAAATTCCCCAGATTTATATAAAATACATTTAATTTAGGAGAAAGAAAAAATTTTTTTTTCTATAAAGTTATTTTAAAAATACACAAGTATAAGACTAGAGAAAATTTTTGTTTGTTTGTTTGTTTCTTGTTTGTTATCGTCGACGAAGTTGTGGTTTTAAAGAAAAAAAAAAAAAAAACCTAACAAATTAATCACGACACAATAAAAAAAAAAAAAAAAATTTTTTTTTTTTGTTTTTACGTTATGTATAATAATATGTGATGAAAAAATTTTTTGACATCGTCGAAGGCATACAGGAAAATGACACCAAATAATAAAACAAAAGAAACCAAAAAAAATAACCCCCCCAAAAAGAAGAGAAAAAAAGATGGCCAAACACACGGCGCCCACCCGGTGGCAACTCTGAATATCTGATCTCGAAATTATTAGTCGTTCCTTTTTATAATTTCCATGGATTGAGAAGTGGCAGCTGGAAGGGATGCTTCCCCTAAACAATTTGACTTAGCCCCTTATTAAACGCGCAATCGCATCACCGCTACGACCGTTACGTTTCATCCCCACCTAAATACATTCGGCATTAAAATTTTTCTTTCCACTGTTAGTTTAAAAAATTTTTGAAAATATTTTTTTAAGATGATGGATTTTCCATAAACTTTTTCGTTACAACCAAATTCATCTTACGGTAAATTTATATTTTTGAAAAACCAAACGATTTGAAACTGAAGTTTTTTCCTTCATTTTTTCCTTCCTTTTTTTTTTTAATAAATTATTTAAAATCGAAATTGGAAAAATTCAAATCGAAATTAAATCGAATATTTATGTTTCGTTTTCGAAAAAAAAAAAAAAAACAATATGGCGGAACCAGGAATTTTTCGAAAAAAAAAAAATGAAATTAATTTTTATTTTCTTTTGATGTCTACGAAATTCATAATTTAAATTAATTAACTATTATTAAATCGCAAAAAAACGGATTAGGGTTAAACTCCTACGTCTGCTGCCACTTTTTTTTCTTCCCTATCCCCACCCCTCCCCCCCTTTTTTTTTTTAAATTAATTTTCCGTAAAAATTTAAAAAAAAAAAAAAAACGAAAACGCGATAATGATAACTTTAAACATTTTCATCCTTTTTAAAAAAAAAAAAAAAACATTTTCCAAATGAAAATTGGCAACGTTGTAAAAAAAAAAACATCATAATTTTTCTTGTGATATTATTATGATAATTATTATTATTATTATTAGCGTATCGTACGATTCGGGGCATTAGTAAAGTTTTTTTTTAAAAAAATCGATGAATTTTTTCTTTTTTTTTCCTACTGGAAAATTTTCGTGCGTTTTTTTTCTTTTTTCATTTTCTTATTTTGGAAAAAAATTCAATCTCACGTGACTGAATATTTTACATTGGAATGTTACATTTCATGCCGCTTCCCCCCCGCCAACACCACCACCACCGCCTTCCTATAATTTCATCTCCCCACTTTCGTTCTTATATTTTTCATTCCAGTTCGTTTCTTACCCTTCCCCCCTCCCGCCGCCAAGTTTAAATTAAACGAAAAAAAAAAAAGAACCGGGTTAGCAGAATTGTTTTTTTTTTTTATCGAAATCATTTTTTCATTTAATGATAATAATAATAATAATAATAATAATAATAATAATAATAATAATAATAATAATGTTATTAAGCCGTCGGTTATTTTAAATCGGTTAAAATCAGATATCAGATTCATCGTTTGTTTGTTTGTTTATTTTGTTTTCATACCTTTCTTCCAACCTCAAGCCTCCAGCCTTCAGCCTCCTCTTTCTCCTCCTTTCTTAACGTCCGTGAGGATGATTTAGGGCGGACTGGAAGAAAAAAATACCGCCGAAAATTTTATGACGTAAATAATAAAATGTTTTTGGCTGATGCGAGCGAAACTTTTCTCATATATTTTGGAAAAATTCGAACGAATCAAAATCAAAGTTTTAAAAAAATCGAAACGAAACGAAAAAAAAAATTAATAATAATAATAATTTTGTAGCAGTGGTAACAACTATAAAAAACAAAAAAAATTTTTTTTTTTTTACGGTCTGCACACTGAGCGTACAGTAATTTGTTTTTTTTTTTTTTTTTTTTTTTTTTTTTAATTTTGAAAAGTGAAGTTTTTAAAAAAAATAAAAAAAATTTTTTTTTTCCAGAACGATGATTTCGATGAAGAAAATAAAAAGTTTGAAGTTTTCCAGAATGAAATATATATATATGGGAAAAGAAAATTTTTTTTTTTAAAAGGAAACCGGAGAGTAAAAATGGGGAGATTTTAGGTTGAAGTAAAAGCGGTTTTTTTTTATAAAATGGCGAACGAACACTTTAAACACGTATTAAAATATTTACGTAAACGTTTACGGTAGGTAAGGGGGACGAGGGGAGGGGTGGAGGGAGAGGAGAGAGAAAAGGGAAAAAATTTAATATTTTCGGATAAAATCAACTACCCGCCACGTGGTTTTAGAAGAAACCCTTTTTTTTTTTTTACTTCGAATCGATATCGTTTCATTTCTATCGTGACTGTAAACAGAATGAATAACCAGGTGAAATCACGAAGGCAACCGTTTCCTTTTACCCTTACAAAATAAAAACTCACCTGAGAAATTATATTTAATACTTTTCGAATTTAAAATTAAAATGCAATATATATATAAATACGATCGTCGAGGCACACTTTCCGCACACACGCACACACGCACACTCACTCACTCACCTTACCACCCTTCCCTCCCTTCTTCCTTCCCTTCCATCACTTCCTCCCCTTTCAACCTTTTATCCAATATTTTTTTTTTTTTATTTTAAATCAGACAATTACCAAAGGTGCATGTTTCAACCTTTTATTTTTTTTCCCCCTCCCTTTTCCCCTTCCTTCATCTACCCCGAAAACCTTTCCTTATTATTATTATTATTATTCCAAGGGTGGATGCCCTGGTTTGCTTTTTATTCTACTTTTTTTTTTTTTTTATATGAAAAGATTGAAGGTACCACCTGGTGCTTGGCAATTCTCGCCTCTTGCAGACACGTGCTCTCTACTACTACCACCACCACCACCATCAACATCACCCTCCTCCTTTCTACCTTTTTTTTTTTTTTACGTTTCCCGCCATTTTTTTTTTTCATTTCGTTATTTTTTAATTGTTTTTTTTTACAATTTAAATTTAAATGAATGACTTTAAAAATTTTCGTTTGTTTTGAAAAATGAGGTCGTTTGTTTAAATTGTTGTTAAAGGTTATGAACGTATTAATGGAGGATCGGAGAGGGAGACGGGAGAGGTGAGGGGGGCGAATATTGATTTTTAAAAAGTTTTTTTAAACGACGGGAAAAAAAAAATTAAAAAATTATTCGTGAAACGGGAAATATTTCGATCGAATTTAGTCAGTAGGGTTACTTCCAGTTTAAAAATTTAAATTTTAAACATTAGCAAGTAATAATAATAATAATAAAAAGAAATTTAACTGGAAAAAAAAAACAGGAGAGCGGGACAGCTGTTGAATGTGAAACAAAGGAACCACCGGTAGTAGAAAAGGTTGTGTCCTGTTGTGTGTGTGTGTGTTTGCCGGCTGAAAATTTTTTAACTAAGGGTTGGTTACTACATCCCCAAGTTCATTTTGCAGATGGATGTTATTTTAAATTTTCAATTCCAGGTCTGCACATTCACGAGAGTAACATCGGTGATGGTGGTGGTGGTAGTGGTGGTGGCATCGATTCCTGGTTTATTCTTTTCATAAACTTTTTTTTGTTAATTGTTCGCTGCACTTAACATCTTTTGTTTTTTTTTTTTCAACCCTCATGCCCTCATCAACCCTATTAGTATTACATATATATATTCAAAACAATTAATAAAATATGTAAAGTAACATAATTAAAACGTTCGGTACCTTTTTTTTTTAAACCTTTTCCGTTATTATTATTATCATTATTTTTATTTTACTGTGGGAAAATTGCATCGATTGAGTCTAGACGTGCAATTCATAAAAAAAAACATTTGCATGACGAAAGTTTCGTTAACGACCCCCCAAACAACAACAACAACAACAACTTGTGGCAACCTTTTTCATATTCCACTTTCTCCCCCCCCCTTCATTTCTCATTTAAAAATTTTGCATCGATTTTTTTCGTTTCCCTTCTCCCTCACATTTTTTTTTTTTTTTGAAGGTGAATAATTTTCATTAATGATTTCTTTTTTATTCGAAAGGGGAGTCATTAACTGCATGATTTTTTTTTTAAAGGGGGAAAATATAAAATCGTTTAAAAAAAAAAAAACGTTTTTTTTTCTGAGAAATATTTATGTATGTGCTCCCTGTTTTCCCCTCCCCTCTCCCGTTCGTTTGATTTTTCAATATACTTTCAACCGTATCATTACGATAAAATTTTCACATATACGCTTGCGTCATGGACGCAAATTTTTACGCGCGTACACGCAACACGATAAAAAGCA